TATGGCAAATACAAACGTGGTTCAATTTCAAATCTGAATAGGTTACATTCTTGACCAAGTTCAAAATTCTTTGGGGGCTTCAAAAGAAGATGGAAAGGGAAGAAAAGGAAACTAATTAAAGATTCAGAGAGGAAATGACACTTAAGATGCTGTGTGTGCTCAGAGGAAGAGAACGCTGACACCTGCACGTGGCAGGGAGGAATGACTCAGGAGCGCAGGGGCTTTGGTTTACCCCCATTGCTTAGAAAAGCACCTGCTACACTGAAGGGCGTGCTCAATAAATAACCGTTGAAAGAAGAGATTCCAGTAAGACTGAACAGCATAAGCAAAGATGGAAGATGTGAGAAAAATAATCCACTGAAAGCTTCTGTAAGCATGCTAACTTTATTTGACAGTGCAAGTTATAGTTGAACACATCACAAGCTTGACTGGAATTTGTGGAAGAGTCAGAAAAGAGATTGAAAATGTAAAGTGGGGGAGATGAACAGGAGTTTTCTTTAATGGGGAGTCAGAATAACTTTTCATTATTTCTTCTTTTCTGGATCTTCTAGGTTTTCTTTAATAAGTTTTACTAATTAATTAATTTCAAACATTTTACTAATCCAGGTCTTGCTGTTTCTCCCCATTACACACAAAAACATTCCAAAATAGTTCATTTTAGTTCAGTTCCTTACATAGCCTCAATTTTAATCTAGGACTTTGGGCCACAGGCTCTGTTTCGCCTAATATTAGCACAAAAACTATTTTTATTTCAGCTGCTTAAGTGAGGAGAGGTAGTCTACCTGGATCTCCTCTCGAGAAAGATGCATAGAATTTTGCACAAAGTCTGGGGGTTCATCCCATCCTCCTTCCTGGGTGTCCAGGTTGTGGTAATAGTGATAGCCACCTTTCACCCAGTGCTTCACCCACTTGCTGTTATTATCTCCTGGTAGAAAAGACAAGAAAGATCAGAGGACCCCGGAACCACCCCCCAACCCCCCCACATCTACATGCCCAATACTCCAGTGTTATTCTAGCCAGGTTTAACAATCTAAATGAATATATTCCAGAGTCTGCTCCTTGGATCTAATGCATCCTAAAGTCCCCCTTAAGTTATGGCTTTGCAATCCTTAACTCAGCTCATTTATATCTATTTTAAAATTTTTAACGCCTATGGAGTTCAACTGTGAAATTAACCATGACTAGCTTTGTTCCTTCCTAAGCCTATGTCTAAGACTTTACATGACAGAAAATTACTCAGCTAAAGGAGCTGTGAACACTCAGCCTACATTAAATAATAATAATAAAATGAGATGAGAAATCTTATTTTTATTCCCCTCTTTTGCCAATAAAATACATGCAACAGTCTATTGAAAAAAATAAACAAACAAACAAACAAAAACAACCCAAACCCACTACCACTGAGTCAAGTTCAACTGACAGCAACCCTGTTAGGGTTTCTGAGACTATAAATATTTTTGTAAGCAGATGGCCTAATCTTTTTCTAAAAAGTGGCTGGTGGGTTTGAACCACCAATCTTGCAGTTAGCAACCCAAGGCTTAACCAGCTGTCTACAGGCTTATACAATCAGAGACACTGACACCCTATATAGAGAGAGGTAGATACTTTGATCCAACCTAAATTAACCTCATTACTATAGCTGTCCATAAAGAGGGGAGGCGGGAATCAAAACTGCCTTAGAGTCTTTAAAACAAGCCCAAATACAGCATCTCTACACTAAAATGTCTTTTTCTATAGTTTATGCCGTTCCTCTGTATCTCTCTCCCCATATCCTCGCGTTATTAGCTTCAGGCGACATATTTATTTCCTCACAACTCACCTGCAGCCAGTTTTTTCTTCTTTGCTTCAGCAAGGTCACTCTGGTAAGTCTCACCACATTCAGGGATGACTCCATACAGTCCAACATCAGGGGAACGAAGGGCACTCAGTGTTTTGGTAACATCACCATTGTCCACTGCCTCATTAATTGCGAAGACTCCTAAGGCAACTATACCATCAGAAGAGAATTGTTACAGAAACAGTTTGAAAAGCATCTGAATTCCTACCTATTTCACCTAACTATACCTCCTGGCAAACTATTTCCCTTTTTCACTCTTAAACTGAATAATGAGATACGGAGCATGCCCGCCCACCTCACTCTCCACCAAAATTGAAACACAACAATTGATACGTACACTTCTGTGCTTCCTGGGTGTCTTTGTTGGATTGCCAGACTCCACCCTGAATTTCATCCAACCAGAGCACAGCTGACTCATCCTGGGTTTCCTAAATACCATAAAAAACAAAACCATTTCAGAGGCATGAAAATAGGGCACATGTGATACACATGGAGTGAAGGAGCCTTTGTAGATATGGAGAAAGTTTCAAATGTACAAGGGGCTTCAAACAGTTAGCATGTGACCATTTCCTATTTTCAATAATAGAAAGTGAACTTTTGAAGTGCCCTCATATAAAATGAACAGAACAGCCAAATGGGAATGGTCCCTTTGTTTGTTGTCTCTGAGATCTTCACAGATTCACAATTCAGCAGATTACGATAGCAGTCTTCTACAGAAAGAGCAAGGCACCTCAGGTTAACAGTGGCCAGGATAAGAGGAGTAATGTTTGAGGTGCTCTTGGCCAACCCAATATAATGAAGAGTTCCTGAGGCTTGGACTAACAGCTACAGACACAAACAGCAGTTGAAGCATCCACTCAGACTGTTCGATGTGAATGTGACTTGACGAGGTACCAGTGAGGCAGAATCCAGAATTGGAGCAAGCGTCCGAAACTGTGGAGATCTGGTTGTACAGTGGTTAAGCACTCAGCTGCTAAACTAGAGGTTGGCAGTTAGAACCCATCAGCCACTAACTACGCAAGGGAAAGATGTAGCATGTCTGCTTGCACTGTGGTTAAGTGCTATCAAGTCAGTTCTGACTTAAGTGACCCTGTGTAGGGTTTCCGAGGAGCAGCTGGTGGGTGTTTACTCTGTGGTGCCGTACGTACCAGCCTTGGAAACCCTAAGGTGCAGCTCTACCCTTTCCTACATGTCAAAGCAACGCAAGGGCAACGGATTTTGACCGTAACTGTGTGGTCCAATGAGGCAGGGCCTGGGTTTTGGGCAAAGTGCAAAGTGTCAGTACTTTCAGTAGGCCCTGGAGTTGAAGCTAAAAAACCTAAAGTAGAGAGAGCCATGTTTTATTCTGTGGAGCCACAGCCCCTGCCATTCATAAGGAGAGCCGTATTGACAGGGTAAGGGCTAAAGGAAGCGTCTGAATTGAAAGCAGTGCTAGCTTTCAAGTGCAGTTTTAAAAAGAAAGATCATATGACCCAATTATGCTAGGTGTTGGGTTTACTTAAGCTCCCAATTTTAAAGCTCAGTCTTGAGAAAGGGAAGCATGAGCGGAAAAGCAGAATACAACAAGAAATCACCTAATAGTACCTGACCATTATCACAAGCCACTTTCTATTACTGGAAATAGAAAACGGCCACACTCAATCCCCTAAAATTATCTGAATAAGTACTGGAAATAGTGCGCAGTAGTTTCAATGTCCGACAACATAATGAGTCAGCTCTGTGTGCAACAACGTAAACTGAGAAGTTATAAGCTGGGAGGCTAAAGGTCTAACCTCCAAGAGAGGGTGCATAAAAAGTTCCTACATCATAAAAATAGAACCATTTTCCACAGAACCAGACTATTTTTGATTCACTTTTGGGCTAACCACACTTTGGATCTCTCTGAGCAGAATCTACTGGAAACAAATCTGAGATGCTTAGTACAACTTCCTTACACCGAGGGAAAGGCACAGTTTATCAATAATTCTGACTATTCAGAGCTCTTTTCCCTGCCCCATAAAGAACAAAACAAAAGCCTTTCAGACCCGTTCCTGTAAAATATAAGTAGTGGAGCTATTATATGAAAGGCATGCAAAGAGAACAGACCAGTCAGTGTCTCATGTGTCAGGGAAATACGATAGAGGACTACTCCTCACCAAACTGAAGGAGGAAGAGAGAGATGGCATACATGCTGATGCACGGAGAATGCTTATTCAAGAAAAACTGAAATCTCAGTAAGAACAGTGAGTTTTCTAGCATTTTAAATTGTCCTATTCCCTGTCCCTGCCCTCTTCAGCTCCTTCAAAGCCCCAGAAAGCTGTCGGTATTTAAGAGGTTTGGTGGTTCCCTGAAAAACCTTAATCTTGAAGCTGATTTGGTCCTCATTCAGTGCAAACAGCTTTTTCCAGGGGCCTTTGTCAAAAACAGTAAGAGGTGATTGTCCAATACTGGGAATGCCTAAGGTGGTAGGTAGGTAATAGCTAAGTCAAACAAACCAGACCCACTGCCATCAAGTTGATTCCAACTCACAGTGACCTGTACAGGGTTTCCCAAGACTGTACATCTCTCTGAGAGCAGATAGGTCCACCTGTCTCCTCCGCAGGAGCACCTGGTGGCTTTGAACTGCAGACTAATGTTCTAACCCACAATGCTTCCAGGGTCTCTTAGGGTAAACAACAAGCTAAGCAAAAAGCTTAAAAGGAATATCTGGAGATTACGAAAGTTCCAAATTATTACTGGAAATCTAGCAAAGTCCTGGTGTGGTGCTGTGGGTTAATGCGCTGAACTGCAAGGTCGCTTTGAACCGCAAGATCGGTGGTTCAAGCTCACCATACTCTCCTGAGAAACCCTTTACAGGGTCACTATGAGTCGGTACCAACTTGACAGCACTTAACAATAACAACACCAGAAGACGATGAGTATACGTTAAGTGTGGGCACATGCTCAGGAAAAGCTAAGCTCTCCTCCCTGTCTGTCCTGCAGGCACTAAAGCAGAGCTGTGAACTGCCTGGCTGAGTGTTGAAGGCCTGTCTCCGTAGCCACACACAGCCCCATGGCAACAGCTGGGAGCGTTATTGGTTTTAGGCATTTAAGGAAATGAGTGTCTAATCATTAGCTGACCACTAAACTAACTCAGCAGAGATTTCAGAGGCCACACACAAGAAAGCACAACAGTAAGCAGCGACAACGACTAATCCTGAGGAAGGAGGAGAATCCAATATTCAGAGTTGCCACATTATATTATTAGTTTTTTATTAATGTTTCACACACAAAAATTCTGAAACATGCAAAGAAACAAAAAAAGTATGACTCATACACAGGGAGTTAAAAAAAAAAGACAATAAAACTTGTCACTCAGTTGAAAACTCCTAAAATGAGATAATATTTAAATATTAAATTTAAAATATGCCCTAAAATCTTCTTTAAATCAAATAGTAACTTCACTTATTAGTAAAGAATGTGTACCTGGAACTTTGTGCTCTTTTAAAGACCTATGCACGTGGGATCAAAGTGATCCTAGCCATCTGAAGGGTTAGGGGACAGTGAGGGAGGAACCACTTGGAAAAGGAGGGTACGAATGGTTACCTAACTTAAGAATGCAAATAAGGTCCCGAATTGTGCATATTGTTGTTGTTAAATGCCATGGAGTGCATTTCTAGTGTGTGTATCTTCAAAAACAACTATAATGTAAACTAGTATTTAGACAAAGATTTAAATTAACTATTGTAAATATGTCCAAAATATGAAAGGACACTACATCGGAACTAAAGAATATATAAGAGCAAACAAACAAAAATTCACCAAACAAAATATTAAACAAAAGGAACGAAATTGTAATTCTGACACTGAGAGTGTAATAACTGCTAACTCAGGTAACAGGGAGAACAATCTACAAGAAGAGGGTGATGAAGACAGGTGAGGAATGCAAGGGTTCAAGGGGATAGAAGTCAGTGTTGTTATAAACACAACCCTGAAACAACAGTGTTCTACAGGTACATACTTGGACAGATACACATGCTGACCAGGTATGGAAGGGAGAATGCGAGTATACCCATAAATACATAAGGGTTTGACAGAGGAAGTTTGTACCTGGGTATTCACCTTTGCTGCAAACACACCTATGAATGTGGTGAAGCATACAGGGGGCATAATGATCAAAACTTCTTGGGTATTATCCAGCATCTTAAGGCTATGAGATATTGGGCCTCAGGTCAACTGGCATAACATAGTCCCCAAAGGCAATGTTCTACATCCTACTTTGGTGGCATCTGGCCTCTTAAAAGCTCATGAGTGACCATCTGAGGTGCAACTATTGGTCTCTTCATGTACGGAAGAAGAGTGATGAGAACTGAAGATGCCTGGAATCAATTAGTCCAATGGACTAATGGAACAGGTGAACATCTGTCTCCACAAGTCTAAAATGAGAAGAACTAGATGGTACCCAGCTACCATTACAAACTGCTCTGAAAGGGATCATATTAGAAGGTCCTGGACAGAGTGTGAGAAAATGTGGAACAAAACTAAAATCCATTTAAAAAAATAAATAAATAAATACAAGACTGGGCTTACTAGTAAGAAAGAAACTAGAGGAACCCAGGACTATAGTCCTCGAACACCCTTCAAGTCTGGAAAGAAACCTGTGGCCCAATTCTCAGCCAAGCAATAGATAGGTACATTGGTGTTGTTAAGTGCCGTTGAGTCGGTTCTGACTCATAGCGACCCTGTACAGGGTTTCTGAGGAACAGCTAGTGAGCTTGAACCGCCGACACTGCAATCCAGCGCATTAACTCGCAGAGCCACACCAGGACTCCAGATAGGTATGTAGTGGGGGACAAAAACACTAGTAAGGTATACTCACCATGGAAAATGGTCAATCATTCAAGATCGAAAGGGCAACATTTACCAAAGGACAAAGTTGAGAAGGGATGGAAGGTGGGTGAAATGGAAATAGGAACCCCAGGAAGAAAGTGGGATAGTTGCTGTTGCATGGAAGGGACTGCAATCACTAAAATGTATGATTTGTTGAATGGAAAACTGATGATCTTATCTGTAAATCTACACTCCAAATAAAAAGTACAATAACTGAAATGAAAAATTCACTAGAGAAGATAAAAGCAAATTTGAGCAGAGAAAAGTACAAAAAAAAAAAAAAAATCAGTAAAGTTGACGAGAGATTGAGACTACCTAGTTTGAGGCACAGTAAGAAAAAGGAAGAAGATAAAATAACAAAGCCTTAGAGATCAATGAAATACCATCAAAGGCACCAATATATAATAATCTAAGTACTAGAAGGCAAGAAAAGAAAGGGGTAAAAAGAACACTTACAGAAAATCTAAATTGGCTTATAACAATTACAGAGATTAAAACAGTACAGGCAGTCCCCTGGGCTACAAGTGTCCAATTTACCCACAGTTACAAAGCAACTCACCTGAAGCCAATTATAAAAATTCAAGGCACATATAATGGTTCATAATAAAAAAAACATTATTATTACTGAATTCTTGTGTTATAGTTGTCTTAGTGTATCTAGAAGACAATGAACACAAGTCTATGGAGCCAAACTGTGACCCTGACATATTCCACCCGAACTTAGAGATTATCTCAAGAACAGATTTTGCTGCGTTAGACACTAATCACTGGAGACCAGAAGAGTTGTGGGAAGACATCATACAAGCAGAAAGAAAAAGGTCAGTAAGAAGACAAGAAAAGAGGAAAAGACCAAAATGGATGTCAGAAAAGACTCTAAACCTTGCTCTCCAGTACAGAGATGCTAAAGTAAACAGAGAAATAAGGAAGTAAAAGAACTGAGAGGAAAATTCAAAGGGCAGCTTGAGAAGACTAACTTAAAATTATAATGAAACGTGCAAATATCTGGAGTTAGAAAACGAAAAGGGAAGAACATGCTCAGCATTTCTCAAGCTGAGGGAACGGAAATAAAAGTCAAGCCTTGACTTGAAATAATGAAGGATTCTATGGGCAAAATATCGAATGATGCGAAAAGAAGATGGCAGGACTAAAGAGTCAATGTACCAAAAAGAAATGGTCCATGTTCAACTATTTCAAAAGACAGCATATGATCAGGAGCCAATGGTACTGAAAGAAATTGTTCAAGGTGCACTGAAGTCATTGGCAAAGAACAAAGCACCGGGAATTGATGGTCACAAATAGAAATTTTTCAACAAACTGATGCAGCACTGGAGGCACTCACTCATCTCTGCCAAGAAATGTGGAAGACAGCGACCTGGCCAACTGATTGGAACAGATCCTTATTTATGCCCATTTCCAAAGAGGTGACCCAATGGAACGTAGAAATCATGCAACAATATCATTAATATCACATGCAAGTAAAATTTTGCTACAGATAATTAAAAAATGGCTGCAACAATACACTGACAGGGAGCTTCCAGAGTTCAAGCTGGATTTAGATGAGGACATGCAACTAGGGATGTCATTGCTAACATCTTGGCTGAAAGCAGAAAATACCAGAAAGATGTTTATCTGTGCTTTATTGGCTATGCGAATCATGACTATGGGTCATGACAAGCTATTGACAACATCGCAAGAATGGGTATTCCCAAACACTTAGTTGTACTCATGAGGAACTTGTATACAGGCAGTTGTTTGAATAGAACAAGGGGACAGTTAATGGTTTAAAATCAGGAAAGGTGTGTGCCAGGGTTTTATATTCTTTACCATACTTATTTCATCTGTATGCTGAGCAAATAATCCAAGTAGCTGAATTATTGGAAGAAGAACGTAGCATCAGGATTGAAGAAAACTCATTAACAACCTGTGATATGCAGATGATATAACCTTGTTTGTTGAAAGCAAAGAGAACTTAAAATACCAACAAAGATCAAAACTCCAAAGTCTGCAGTATGGGTTGCGCCTCATTGTAAAGAAAACAATCCTTACAACTGGACCAATAAATAACATCATGATAAATGGAGGAAAGATTGGAGTTGTCAAAGATTTCATTTTGCTTGGATCCACTATCAAGACTCAAAGGAGCTCTGGTAGCATAGTGGTTACGAATCGGGCTGCTAACCTCAGGGTCAGCAGTTCAAAACTACCAGTTGTTCTGTGGGAGAAAGATGAGGCTTTCTGCTCCCGTAAAGATTTACAGCCTCGGAAACCTTGTACAGAGTCACTATGAGTTGGAACCAACTCCACGGCACATAACAACAACTATCAACACTCATGGAAGCAGCAGTCAAGAAATCAAATGACGTATTGCATTAGACAAATCTGTTGCACAAGACTTCTTTAAAGTATTGAAGAACAAAGATGTTACTTTGAGGACTAAAGTGTGCCTGACCCAAGCTAAGGTATTTTCAGTAGCTTCATAAGCATGTGAAATATGGATAGTGAAAAAGGAATACCACAGAAGAATGAATGCATTTGACTTATGGTGTTGGGGGAAGGCATTGGAAGTACCATGGAGTGCCAGAAGAACAAACAAATCTGTGTTGGAAGAAGCACAGAGAGAACATTCCATAGAAATCAGAATGGTGAGACTGCATCTCTCATACTTCAGACGTAATATCAGAAGGGACCAGTCCCTGGAGAAGGACATCATGCTTGGTAAAGTGCAGGGTCAGTGAAAAAGACGACGAGCCCAACTGGCACAGTGGTAGCAGCAACAGGCTGAAGCCTACCAACGATTGTGAGCATGGCAGAATCGGACAGAGTTTCATTCTGTTGTGCTCAGGTCACTATGAGTTGGAAGCAACTCTATTGCACCGAACGACAAAAACAATGTATCTAGAAGTATTTAATTTTTTTATGTGTGGCGCTGTGGGTTAATGCATCAGACTGCAAAGTCGTTTGAACTGCAAGGTCAGTGGTACAAGCTCACCAGCTGCTCCTTGGAAATCCTATACAAGGTCACTACGGGTCAGAATTGACTCGATGGTACTTAACAACAACAACAACAATGTATTTATAAGCTAAGACAAACATTTAAGTAATTGACATTAGATATGAATCGCTCTATACCAACTGTTGCAATTTATGTGCAAATTCAACTTGCAGACAAACTTAGTAACAGAACTTGTTCACAATCCAGGTAATTAAAAAATTTTTCAAAAAGAAAAGCCTAGGACCAGATTGCTTCATAGGTTAATTCAATGAAACATTTAAAGAAGAAATTATATCAATCCTTCACAAACTATTCCAAAAAATCCAAGAGAAGGGACTATTTCTCAACTCAGACAATGAGGCCAATATTACCTTGATTCCAAAAACAGACACAAGACATCACAAGAAAAGTAAAGTACACACCAAATTTTAAATCTTTTGCCTGCTAAATTTGGAACTCAGATAAATATTTTTAAAACTATTCCCAAATGGCTTAGAGGAAGTTAGAGGCAAACTGATGCCTAAAAAAAGGCAATTCTGCCCAATACGTAATCTGTTCAGCTAGGCCTGCCAGTGTTCAGTAAGTTTTTTTCTACTCTCTCCACCCTCTTCCTCTGCTTTTGGTGAACTCTAAAAAGTCATTCTACTGCAAAAGGAAATGCTTGAAACTCTAGTCACGTCCTCTAAAAGAGGGGCAAACAGTCTCATGGCCTGAGTGAGAGCAAGTACAAGTTATATCCTCAGCCTACTTTTCGTCTTAAATATAAAACCTGACCCTGGCTTATTCTCCCAAGTCGTACTTCTCGGTCAGTCAGTTATAGACTTCCTTGGAATGAAAAAAAAAAAACCAAAAAAAACCCCCATTAACAGCAATATCACCATATCACCTCAGAAGTCACGTTCTACACCCCAGAAATCTGAATGAGCAGAATTAATGTTTAGGACTCTGTATCTTGAAAATGGCTCTTTCAGTGTATCAATGATCAGTCCAGTTTGGAAGTTCTGATCTAATAAAATGAATCAAAGACATAGACCTCCACTTCCACCTTCCCTGGCAACTGCTTTTTCTCACCTGAGTAAGTGAAATCAGTCAATCATTTGACTCAATTTCCTGGCTACAAATTCAAAACTGGGCTTCAACCCTGTCACAGCAGGAGCAAATGACATTCTGCACAGTAATGTGCCTCTTAAATGAAACCAGACCCTATATTTACATGGCTGTTGGTGGTGGCGGCGGTGGTGGTGGTGGTGTATGTACCAGAGATGGGGGTGTATGTATGTACCAGAGATGGGGGTGTATGTACCAGAGATGGGGGTGAAGAAGGTAGAAGGGGATGTAAAAGCATGGGCGACAAAGGTGTACGTAATGATTTTTTAAAAACCTGAGGACCACTTACATAGATATGTTTACTTTGGGAAATTTACATAACTGTATACACCTGGTATGGTGCTGTGGGTTAATGCGCTGGAAGGCAAGGTCAGTTTGAACCGCAAGGATGTTGGTTAAAGCTCACCAGCCACTCCTTGGAAACCCTATACAGGGTCACTATGGGTCAGAACCAACTCGACAGTACTTAACAACAACAACAAATACTTACATAGCTGGTGAACTTTTTTCTGCATCTTACAGTTCAATAAAGGATTTATTTAAAGAGATGGAAGAGATCTGTCTATAATAATAATAAAAGAACTACAAAAGAATCAAATCTGCAGAACAAGTGGAGCTCTTTGGAAGGTGACAGCTATACCTCTTATCATGGGGTCCCCTCCAGTGCTCTGAATCTAAGGGTGCCCAGGAAACACTTCCGGGTGAATCAAGACAGATGTCCCTACTTGTGTATGTGCTCTGAGACACTTCTGAGACCACTCACCTGGGCTTTCTCTCTCTTTGCTCTGATCAGTGTGTCTTGGTAATGCTGGGCCACTTCTGCACAGACTCCCTCAAGTTTAGCTGCAGGAATCTGCAAGGCTTGCAGGGTCTTCTGGGCATCACCTTCATCCAGGGCTTCATTAATTAAACCAATAGCTAAAATTCCTAAATAGGAAGGGACAAGAAGTTTTTTGATTAAGACATGATATAAACAAATCAGTCTTTAAACATGGTTGTTGTTGTTAACTGCTGTCGAGTCGGTTCCGACCCATAGTGACCCTGTATAGGGATTCCAAGGAGCAACTGGTGAGCTTGAACTACCGACCTTGCAGTTCAAATAGCTTTGCAGTCTGGCGCATGAACCCACAGCGCCACCCCAGGACTCCATTAAACATGGTAACCAATTACAAATCTGCCTGAAGAGTTACCATGATCTGAACTACAACTTGTCATTTATAATACTAAGCAGCATTGATTATTGTTTTGTTTTTTAGTTTTTGTTTCATCTAAAGTAAGCCCCTTTGGCACATAAAAAACGGTTTCTATTCCAAGTGTGTATCTTTATTTTTTGCTCTAGTTTAAAAGGGATGGGAATTGTGATAAAACCATCTTTACTGTATACATCAAATATACTGTACAATCAAAGCCATTCTAGAACACAGAAGAGTTAGAGTTTAGAAATCTTAAAAATTCACCTTTTTTGGGGACCCTAGGACCATCAAGGGAGAAGAGCACAAGCAGAACGTGGGACCCCATCCAGAGAAGCAGTGACACCAGAGATGGAGGTGGAGATGAGGACATGGAGAGATAGAGCAGCTGAGGACTCTAGACTCATGAAAAGAGAGAGACTGGGTGCTGGCGGCCAGGAGGCAAGCTTGCAGAATGTGACCTTTAGTTGGTTGTTTATAAACGATTATATATTCCTGAGTAGTTTTGTGTACATCCAAAAAAAACCAACCAAACAAGAGGGAATAGAAGTAAATACTGTAGAACGATGATGCATGGAGGGGATTATAATCATTGCAATGAAATGATGAGTGTAAAACTGATGTTCTCCCATGTAAACTATCACTCAGTTCATGGTAAAACGAAAAAAAAAAAAAACCTCACCTTTTAAATGTTTTTAATGTAAGTAAACATTTTTTATAATAGAAAAGATGAGGCTTAGGAACCTCTTGTTCAAGAAAAGAGAGCATACAAGTGGCAGACCTAGGATCTAAGCCTAGGGCTCTCGGCGCCAAGGTTCTTCCTCCTGAACCTAGCTGAATAGTGTTCACAGGAAATACAGCGAAAACTAGAGACTCTCACTCCACAGACGTCCTGATGCTGTGCTGGTTTAGTAAGAACCTCTTGAATGTAGCTACAGAAAGCTGGCCTAGAACCAAGCAGGAAAGTCATTCTTGTTTTCTTCTAGCACAAACTACCAGCTATCCCATTAAGGACACCCAACCCCACTGCCAGAGTCAATTCCAACTCAGACTGATCCTAGAGGACAGAGTAGAACTGCTCTATAGGGTTTTTAAGATGAAATCTCTATCTTTCTCCCATGAAGCAACTGATGGGTTTGAACTACTGACCTTACAGTTAGCAACCTAATGCTTAACCCACGGCACCACCAGGGTTCCTTAACAAAAAGGACAGTATTTAAAAATAACAGATGATGTTCAATTCACCTCAAGAAAAGTTTATTAGACACATCATCAGAATCGTCTCATGTTTTGAAAATGACATCTGAGTTTCCGGAATTGCATTTTTTTTTTCAGTGTTCTCACACCCGAAACTCTTCTCAGGAATATGATTTAGGACCATCTTTCTTTAACTGTAACATTGCTGGGAGCAGGGTCACACAAAATAGAATACTCACTCTCATGTTCCTCTTGCACCACCAGATTCACGTGGTCCACACAAGCTTGGATGTCATTCCATGTAATAAATCCGTTGTTCTCTGCATGTGCCTGAGCTTTCAGTTTCATCAAATCATCAAGATACCTGCCCCACCCCCACAACAAAAAAAAGACAATGAACACTGCCCTGCACACACACACACAAAGGCCTTCATATTGTACACAGAACTGAGAAGACTAAGCAGCAAAGGATCCAAGAAGCAAAGATCGGGAAAGCGCTCCAACTCCTGATAGATTCTAGAGACCTCCTGTGGGCCTTGGCGTGACCTTAAACAATGTGTGAAAACGCAAGGGGAAATACTCAGTACCAGTAGCCAATTTCTGGAAGCAGAGACAGCAGCTTAAGCAACTCCCTAAAGACAAGGAAGGAAGGCCACAACACTAGCTGACAAATGTAGGAATCACAGATCAAGAAGGACATCATTCTGCAGCTCATACTGAAGGCCCTGATGTGGGCAAGGATTATCAACTGAAGCAAAAACTAGCAGGTAAATGGTTGATGGCAAACTGGACATTCTGATGGTGCAAAAAGAGATTGTGTTCTGGTGATAAGGGGAAACATAACTGTGTATGGGAGGGTTCGACTACCTCTGTAATACAGGGATTGATTCTGTATCTCTGGTGGTGGGACAAACAGATTTCATAAGCCTTTTGATATGAGGCAATATGAAATATATTACATCACCAAAAATACTGAAGTGGACACTGACAAGCCTTTAGATCTAATTTTCAATTACAGGAATAAACCAAATAAAAAGAAGAAGCCAGAACTATCCAGAAAATAGGATTTTTGTAGGACAATTAACCCAATCTCTTTAACAAGGCAGTGTCATAAAGAAAAGACATATTCTAGATCAAAAGATACCTAAGGGAAACTATCACATAATTCACAATAAAACATTGAAGGAAAAAAAAAAGATACCTAAGGGATACAACCACCAAATTTAGCATATGGTCTTAAACGGGGTTCTGGGTTGAAGACACCAGTGTAAAGAACAATTCTGGAACAATTTAGGACATATAAAAATGGGCTTGGTATCAGCTGATATTAAAGGATTAGTCCTTTAGTCCTACTTAGTTAGGATGTGAGATGGTGTTATTTTGCCTGTAACAACCATTCTATCTCTTTTTTGAAGAGATGCATACTTATATATATTTGGCAGTGAAATGTAAGATCTACGATTTACTTTGAATGTCTCAATATAATAAATAATAATGAGACAATGTAGGGAGGAAATAAGATTATCAAACTCTAGTCACTTTAATAAACAGGAGTGCTGATACATGAAAGACAGAGGGAACGGCTATGCTAACGGGTCCTCCCAGTCACTTGGGACACCCACCTCTGACAGTTTTCTTCTTCAATATTGGTAAGGCCTGTCACTGAACTGCTCAGCTGTTTCCACACTGTATTCATGTCTCCTGATTCCAATGCCCTGTTGATTAGAGCCACTGATGACAACATCTCCACGGCCACCGAGAGCTCCGGATGGGTGAGGTTATGCTGTATAGAAAGGGAAGAGGAAAAACCATGAGGAAAGGTGTTCTCAAACACCAATGCAAATTCAAACGTCAATATAATCAAAAGGAGTCCAGGTTTCTGGTAAGAACGTTCTACCTGGCTACTCTAAGAAGTGGGTATTACTCAACAACATAAATAAATACATAAATTTAAGAGAAAGAGGTGGGGATGAAATTTACTCCCACCCCACTTTGCTCACAAGCAGGACAGGTTCAGTGACTTACTTCAGGACTCTGTTGCTGTAGGGTAGCCAGTTCCTTCTGATAAAGATCCGCCGCAAATGGATACACCTGGGGCAGCTGGGCTTCAGGATTCATTAGCTCCATAACGGTCTTCTCCGCGACACCCTTTTGGATTGCAGCATTAATGGCGGCCACTGCTGCCAATCCTGTTAGGAAACAGAAGGTCAGAAATGCCATAGGCTTAGTCCTGAGGGGAAGGAGAAGCCAAAGAGGAGAAAATCATATTCGATGGGTAAACTATTAGACACTGATTGGAGGAGGAACTTTCATCTTTAAAAAGCAGCCTCTAACTCTTCTCACCCATATGTTCTGCCCACCCCAGTACTCTAGACCAAAAGCATCTCTTCCTTCTCATGAAGCCCAGCATTCCAGCTTCTTAGGCTGCCATTCCAGCCCTTGTCTTACATAACTCAGCCCAAAACATCCACAGAATTTTTATCTTTGCCACTGTTCCTTCAATATGTCTTCCACCTTCTGTACATTTCTCTCTGCTTGCCCTCATTAGGAACAGAATTCTCTTTTCCTCCTTCACCATTCAAATCCTACCAGTCCCCACAAATCCCACTCTCCTCCAGATGTGGGTACCAGTCACAGTGAACCCATATTCACTATACTCCAGAGCTACTTTTAAAGTCGTAAGAAGTTTTAATAAGAACCTTACTGTCACCAAAGGTACCTGGTGGTTGACTTGGGGTCTTTTTTGAGGGGAGGGGAGGAGAAGTGATATAAACTAATGTCAGGCCCTCTACTGACATACAGCCACAACCCCCGTCTTTTCATTCCATTTCCCCATGCACTTTTTTTTTTTTTTTATGTTTTATTGTGAATTATGTGATAGTTTACATGGGAGAACATTAGCTTTACATTCATCCTATTGTATATTTCATTGCAATGGTTACGATCCCCTCTCTCTCTCTCTCTGTCTAAAGTCCCCAGCTGCTCCATTCCCCATGCACTTTTTTGAAGCTCCCCGCCTCCCCGTGTAGCCGAGAGGATTCTTACTTCGCTGATACTGTTGAGCAGCACTGTTTGCAGCATCCACACCAGACTGTAGCTCCTCCTTCTGTAAGGGACCAACCTGACCACTCTGAGAAAAGCAAAGACACTGACGTGAAGCTTACTGAAGCGTCGTCGCGCTCCAAATCTCAACAGAGAGCCCCAGTGGCAGTCTGGGCCAGAGCTTTTCAAAACCCTTTGCCAAATCTGGAGCAGAGTGTGGCTTTCCAGACACCAGTACATTTAAGAGGGTATTTCTTTTAAAACTGTCAGAATGTTCTGATATAAAATGTTTGTACGCTCATTAGCAAATCAATGCTGCTTATTTGGGCCAACGTATGCTGGGAATTTGTAAAAAAAAAAAAATTTAGCAAATAGGGAAGGCCCTCAAAGTAGGCTCTCACAGTCGACTTTTACTGCACATAAAATACTTCCCCAGTTGGCTAGAGGGAGCTAGGGAGGTGTGCTTTTTTGAGAGACTATTTTAAAAGAGCTTTCTCCAAAGCCTTTTCGTCAGGGGTGGAAAGTGGTTGGTTGGAGATAAAGGGATGGGCGGGTTGGTACAGGGGATTGTTTTTAAAGCGGATGCACAGAGCTCTATAACTAAATAAGCTAAGACAATGAACACTTTATCCGAGGACATACATTTTTAAAATGTGACTTATATGCAAGAGAACATTGTTGTTGTTGAGTGCTGTTGAGTCGGTTCTGACCCATAGCGACCCTATCAAGGAGCAGCTGGTGAGTTTGAACCACCGACCTTGCAGTTCAAATGTCTTTGCAGTCTGGCACATTAACCCACAGCACCACACCAGGACTCCAAGAGAACGTTGTTGTTGTTGTTGTTATGTGCCATGGAGTCGGTTTCGACTCATAGTGACCCTGTACAGGGTTTCTGAGGCTGTAAAGCTTTACGGGAGCAGAAAGCCTCATCTTTCTCCTGCAGAACAGCTGGTAGTTTCGAACTGCTGACCCTGAGGTTTGCAGCCCGATTTGTAACCACTACGCTACCAGAGCATTACACTGAGTTAAAAAGGCTCATTCATCTCTTTCTACAGCAGCCCGGGCTTCACAAGGAGGCACTGGAACACCTGTGCTACGACTCCCAGCAGGTTTACCTGTCTCTTCTGCTGCCGGTCACTCAGGAGCTGCTTTAAGTACCAGTCACTGTTCTGCTGCTGTAGTCCTCGGAGCCCCAGAGCTGGGGACTGCAGAGCCTTCATCAACTCCAGCGCAGATCCTTGCTCTATAGCCAGGTCGATATTTGCTAATGCAGAATATGCTGAAGAAAGGCAAAAGCATAAAAACAAAATAAAAACGGCGTTAACATGACAGCCTAGAATACTTTCCCTTCCGGGAACCAGTCCCCGTTTCATATTAAACCCACTGCCATCATGTCAACTGTGACTCAGCGCAGCCCCACAGGGCACAGGAGAATCGCGCCACAGGACTTCGAGACTATGAATCTTTATGGGAGGCGACAGCCTCAGATTTCCCCCTCAGACAGGCTGGTAGGTTTGAACCACTAACCTTGTGATTAGCAGCCCACTGTTTAACCCACTACACTATCAGGATGCCTTAGTTCTAGGTTAGAGAAATATAACCCAGACAGTCTTTCCACTGTAGTGCCCCAGAAGCAGAAGATTTTGGAATTGGAAAAGAACCTTCAAGCCACCTAGTCCAGTAGGTCCCAACCAGGATGTTCAGTGCAGATGCCTGAGTCACCAGGCCTATTAAAAAGCAAATCGTTTGGTACCAATATGGGTAGCAATAGAAGAAAACCACCACATTCGACCACTACACATTCAAATTGCCTCTAAAATACCAAATAGTTGTCTCCGGACTATGCTTCTTGTTGTTGTTGTTAAGAGCTGCCAAGTTGGTTCTGACTCATAGTGACCCTGTATAGTTTTCAAGAAGTGCCTGGTGAGTTTGAACCCCTGACCTTCTGGTTAACAGTCCAGTGCTGATCCTACAGTACTACACCAGGACTCCACTGTTGTTGATGTTAAGTGCCAACGAGGCGGTTCCAACTCAGCGATCCTGTAGTGTAGGTTTCCAAGGAGCAGGTGTGAATTTCAACCACTGACCTTACAGTTCAAAGTGACCTTGCAGTCCAGCGCACTAACCACAGCGCCACACTAGGCTAACAGAGTTCGAAATAACAGAAACTGTCTCACAGGCAACTTGCTTCATTTTTGGATGGTTTTCTCTCAAACTTTATTTATTTTTTTAACGTTCCCACCCAGGGTTCACACTGAATGCACCTAACCCCTCTTTCCTATGCCTACGGCTGTCAGATGCTGTGGAGTCCATGTGCCTCACTGTGAGCCTATGTGTTACAGAGACAACTGCCCCAAAGGCTTCCCTGGGCTATAATCTTCACAGAGCAGATCATCCCCATGTCTCCTCCTGTACAGCTGCTGCCTCAAACTGGTTAGCAATTTGAGCCTTGGCTTAGCTGCTGGGAACTTAAATGTTGTGGCACCAAGGCCCCCGTACTTAACAACCTTAGCTCCTTCTACCAGTTCTTATACAGCATCTTTCTGAAACCCGATATCTATCTCCTGAACATACTCCTTCCACAGTGGGCCCATTCAGAGGTCAAGGGTGGTCTGACCTGTGCTGAGGGGAAGAAGGGGTGATGCCCACTTTGGATAATCTCTATTTTTAATCATCACAGAGCCTGGGGTCATATGTGCTCTTTGATGAAATATTTGACACTGAGCAGTCAGACAGTTCTTTATCTGTAAATGACAATACACAGATCCTTCTCTTGGTGATTGTGGTTATGTGCTATGGGGTCGGTTCCAACTCACAGCGACCCTGTTACAGGGTTTCTGAGGCTGTAAATCTTTTTTTTTAATTCAACAGACAGTTTTATTAAATTTGAAAAAGGAAAAGCAGCAGATATATCTTATAACTGAATCAACTTAACAGCAACTGGTTTAATTTTTTGTGTGTGTTTCTAAAAAATAATTGTTTATTTAACAAATCTGTTTTCTTTAGGGAAACTATTCCTTTATTTAGAGTCCCGTTCCCACCCCCACACAAATTCACTTAGTTAAATCCTGGTAACAGAAGGAAAGGCTGGAGGAACGTTTAAGTGGTGAAAAGGCCCTTATCAAGAGGATTTGATTTTGGGGTGGTATGTATTGTTTTTACAGTCAAATATGGATAGCTTTAATGTTCTAGGAATTTATCAGTGAAGCAAAATAATGTGACTGCTGTACAAATCTGAAGGTTTTCTCAATCTGCATTCTATATAGAAGTTGATGGCATCATTTTTTTCATATCAATGTCAAGTACTTCCCTAAAGCAGAGGAGTTCGCTAAACTTTTGATGGTTCACACCTGGGTTGAATAATTTGTGGGTAATTAAAATGCTAGCTCATCACTCCCTTGGGGAATAAAGACAGACTGTTTTAATTTAAATATCTTTTCTTTTAGCTCATATAGATCTTTATGCCAATAAAAAAAACTCAAAAAGTAGATTAAAAAATCAATTTTAAAATAAGCAAGTATGACTTGGATAGTCTGCTTGCACATAATAAAAATTCCTTTTCAACCTAACTCTTACATAACACTGGCAAATCATACAGCCATATTTAAGCAACACAATCATCTGTAATATGTTTTCCTTTGCTTTTTAAACTGGAATCTAGATAACTGAGGCTGTAAATCTTTACGAGAACGGAAAACTTCATCTTTCACCCACAGAACTGCTGGCAGTTTCGAACTGCTGACACGGTGAGATTAGCAACTACCAGAGCTCCTCCCTGGTATCATAGTGGGTTACAAGTTGGGCTGCTAACCACAGGGTCAGCAGTTTGAATCTACCAATCACTCCTCAGGAGCAAGACGATTTACAGCCTTGGAAGCCCTAACCAGTGTTTCTATGAGTCAGAACAGATTCAGTGGCACTCAATCACCAACACCTCTCTCTTATAGGATTATTTTGCAGATTAAATGAAATCATATACATGAAAACCCCTTGTAGATTGTAAAATAAACAAGGTAATAGTTACGATAGCCTGTATTTTCGTTACTGTTAGCTACCACCAAGTCAGCCCTCAACCACGGTGACCCCACGCACAGCAGAATGAGAAGCTGTGCAGTCCTGTGGCGTCCTACTGACTGGTTCCAGATTCACTGTGATTCATACAGTTCCCATTGGCTGATTTCCAGGCTAGATGACCAGGCCTTTCTTCCTAGTCTGTCTTAGTTTGGAAGCGTCACTGGAATCTGTTCAGCATCAATAACAACATGCAAGCTCCACTGACACTGGCCAGGAATAAACCCAGGCGCCCAGCAACAATGGTGAGCATTCTATACTGAATCGCACCGGCCTCAGCATGATCCCTTCTAGACAATTAAAGTATTTCATAACTTTCTATTTCCTTTTCTTAGAAGACGAAATAGGGTTCCCCTCACCCTCAGTGATGAACACTGGACTCCATTACCAAAGTACAAAAATATTAATTGTTGTTTTTGTTAAGTGCCATTGAGTCACTTATATACGGTGTCCAACGAGCAGCAGGTGGGTTTGAACCACACACACACAAAATCAAAATATATGACGCATGGCAGAACATGTGTATTTGAAATGTTTCCATTAATAAAAGCTGAAAAGAAAATTACTATATGCTGCTAGAAAGAGAAAGAAAACAGCTAAAGGGAAAATAAAGTCTCAAACTATAAAGTCAGTGGGAAGAATACAACTAGAAAATAAAAACAAGAAGTGGAATAAAAAAGAGGTTTAAAAACTGCTATGGATGTGTGGTCTATAAAACCAAACCAAACATACTGCCATCGAGTCAATTCTGACTCATAGTGACCTTGTTGTTGTTGTTGTTAAGTGCCATCGAGTCGGTTCCGACCCATAGCGACCCTGTACAGGGTTTCCGAGGGTGTAAATCTTTACGGGAGTAGAAAGCCTCATCTTTCTCCCGCGGAGCGGCTGGTAGTTTCGAACCGCTGACCTTAAGGTTCACAGCCTGATTCGTAACCACTACGCTACCAGAGCTCCTTAGAGAAACCCTATTTGTCAGTGTTGTTTAGTGTCGACTCACCAAGACCCTGTATAGGGTTTCTTCAAAGAATAAATACAATAAATAGCAAAGCTAACAATCAGGTTTTCCCAAAGCACGTGTGGCAGAATCACTGAGTAACTACAAAAGCATCTTCTCATTATGCTTTCTCTAGATGCATAAATTTACGGCTTAAAACAACAAAAACAAAACTCACTGCCGACTCATAGTGACCCAAAAGACAGAAGTGCCCCATAGGGTTTCCAAGGTTGTAAAATCTAGGTGGAAACAGACCACTCCATCTTTCTCCCACAGAACAGCTGTTAGGTTTGAACTGCTGACCTTCTGGTTAGCAGATGAGTGCTTAATCATTGATCTACCAAGGCTCCTTTCATACTGAAGCAAGCATATAAATATTTAAATGAGCATTCATTACCATTTATATTGTGAAGATGATAAAGTTTAAAACATAACTTAAAGACTCTCACTGAACTATAATATATAACTCTGATTTTCCTTATTCTACTCATTGTTGTTGTTAAATGCTGTCGAGTCAGTTCTGATTCATAGCAACCCTGTATACGGTTTCTAAGGAGCAGCTGGTAGGTTTGAACCATCAATCTTACGGTTAGCAGTTCAGTGCGCATCCTATAGCGCCATAGGATTCTAGCAATAACAAAAAACCCTTTTCCTCATTTTTAACTACTTGGCCTGTAGGTTTCTTCTGCTGTGCAGGCCAAATAGTTAGCTCCTTAACTATGAACTTACTTATCTGCTGGTTCCCAGGAATCTTATCTATAATTACATTAAAATAATTCCTTGGACCTAAAGTCCCCATATCTTCTTAACACACAACTTTCCCTTGCTTCAGACTTCCTCCATAATCAGGAAAAGAATGTCCCTCTGGGGGGAACTGTACCTCATCCTCACCCTCTTGTTCATTCTGAGAGTCCCAGTGAAAGCTCACGTACTCTGAAAGCTGACCTGTGGCCTCCAGAAGTCATCAGTACTTTACTCCACGCCTGCACCTCATGCACCTTAGGTACCTAGTTCCAACCAAGCTGCTCTGGAACTCATTGTGTGAGCTTCACTCTTCACTATTATTCAGAGCTATTTGAGGGCATTTTTAGTATTGAGTTCCTCTGACCACATGAGAACAAGCTCAAAGAACACTTTTACAGCACATACATATGGTTCTTATCTCATGTGTTTATAATGGACTCTTAAATATAAATTATCAAGGTAAAGCTACAAAGATTATAAAATTCCCAATACCATAACAGGACAAATCTCTTGTAAAACTAAAGGAGCATTTCATGAACTCTGTGCAGCAGGAAATGTGCTGGACTTTCTTCTCATGCAGAGAACTCACTAGAAGGGTGCTGTTACTGTTGTGAAGTGCTTAGCTGTTGAGTCGGTTCCGACTCATAGTGACCCTGTATAAGGTTTCTGAGGAGCAGCTGCTGGGTCTCAACTGTCAACCGTGTGGTTAGCAGTCCAGTGCTTATCTTACAGCACCACACTAGGACTCCAGGTATTAGGATACTGTGGTTTATATTTGCTGACACGTATATTCACTCACACAGCTATAGCACACCAGATTCCATACTTGAATGGAGCTATTTCTTTGGTGTGGCACTGCAGGATCAGCGCTGAACTGTAAACCACAACGTCATCAGTTCAAACCCACCAGCTGCTCCTAGGAAACCCTGTACAGGGTCGCTATGAGTCAGAACTGACTCAGTGGCACTTTACAACGTAACAGCAACATTGCTCTGTTCAGAAGGACACTGTTCTAAATGAAACAGTATGAAGCAAATACAAAGGATCCTGGTCGGGACCTAGAACTCTACGTCAAATGCAGTTGGTAAAATCTTACAAAAAGGTCAGTGGTTCAGAACCACTAACAGCTCTGCAGGAGAAGAGACCTGGTAAGCTGTGCCCATAAAGATTGTTTTGTTGTGCACTGTGGAGTTGGTTCCAACCCATAGCGACCCTGAACAGGGTTTCCAAGGCTGTAAATCATAACGGGAGCAGAACGCCTCATCTTTCTCCTGTGGAGCAGCTGGTAGTTTTGAACTGCTAACCTTGCAGTTCGCAGCCAGATTTGTAACCCCTACGCTCCCAGAGCTCCTCCCATAAAGACTCCAGCCTCGGGAAACCTACACTTCTACTGTCATATACGGTTGCTGAGAGTCAAAATCAACTCAAAAGCACCCGACAGCAACAAAATCCCATAATCCTCTCTCTCTCTTTTTATAGTGAATTGGGTGAAGATTTACAGAGAAAATAAGTTTTCATTCCACAATTCATACACATTTTCTTTCATGTCGTTGAAGACCTCTCGTTTCACTCAGTACTTCAGATGAAAAATTAAAACCTCCAGAACAATGAGGGTCCTAATCACTATTATTATCTTGAGCAAAACAAGATCAAGACTGGCCCAATCAAATCAGCGCCTCAGTTTTTTTGGTGAGTCTAAACCTATGCTAGGAATTATGAGGATTTTGAAAGAAGCAAAATAAATATATAGTCTTCAAAGGAATCTACCAGGATATCAGAAACCAAGAGCAAGCAATGTAAGGCAATGCAAAATGAAGTCCAGAATGGTGTGGTGTTGCCTACAAATGCTTTCAGAGATTTGACAGAGAGTATGTAGTGAACTGGGACAGACACTGATGTGAAAATTGGACTGCTCTTGAGTAATGGGTACAATTTGCATTAGGTAAGCAAGGCACAAGGGCATTATTATAGTGGTGACAGAAATAATAAGATACCAGTCAATGTTGATTAAGCACTTTCTAAATTTTAGGCAATTTACATACATGATCTCTTATCTTCCTCTTAATTCTATGGCAGAGGTATCCAATGTCACAATTAATAGCAGGACAAGAGATCAAACTCCAGGTCTATACCGCTTCAGAGAAGACTTCATGAGTCATGAAGTGAATAGAATGAATATGGGGGACAATTAGGCTAATGAGTTTCTTATGTATACAATATTGCACAAACAACTGCATTAGGCTATTGTTGAGTGGTGTCAAGTTGATTCTGACTCACAGGACACTAATTGACACTGTAGAACTGCCCCAGAGAGCTTCCCAGGGTGTGACTATTTACCGAAGCACACCGCGATCTCCTTCTGGGGCTCGGCTAGTGGACTCAATCACCAGCTTCTTAATTAGCAGCAGAATGATGAACCATTGTGCCACCCAGGGCTCCTTTCCACTAGGCTAGGGATGTACATTGAGTTTGGTAATAAAAAGCCAACGCAGGCGCTTAAGCAGAGGAGTGACAAAATGAAAATACTTTTGAGGAATTTAACTTCTCAAAAGTATCTGACATAAGGCAAAAGAGTGCAACTGTAGCCAAAAAGCCGTCAGGAATCTGTTACAAAATGCACGAGTGAGATGAGGGGTCCACAGTGGCCAAAGGAAGCTGAAACAGAAGGCCTGTGAGCACAAAAGACTGTGAGGCACTAGCTCCGAAACACATGGACTAATGTATAAATGTAAACTCCAACACCTTAACCCACATTGTACGTCAACACTCACAGTATCCTGTTAAAGTCCCCTCAGGTGCCTGGCTCCGGAACGTACTTACCATTGACTTTGTTTACATTGCCTTGAATTTCAGCTTGAGTGAGCAGCTCCTCATAAACGTCCCTTTCTCTCTCAGAGTTCTCCGTCTGAGTAACAAATGTACATAAATTAGCTCAGGTGCCTAAGGAGACGTCTCTACAGAAATCACTTCTGCTCTTCCATCACCCTAACAGACTCTGAACAGAACCAAGAGCAAACATGAGTGTGCATTCAGAGAACTAAAAGGAACGCGATCTGGTGACTTGTTAATGACAAGCAAGAGGGGCTCTTACAGACCTGGGCAGGGGAAAGCCTGCAGGATGGAACACCCAGGACACCACTCCCTGTGCCTTGCACAGGTAGGGGCAGGCTGGGACATGGAGCAGCTACATGCCTGCAGGACACCTTGGCACCTATCTTGATTCTATAATCCCTGCTCTACAAATGGAGATACAAAGAATATTTGAGGCAGGTGGGGAGCCTAACACCTTTGTTTTCTCACAATCTGGACATGTTTACATCACTAATTTCAACAAGGGATGAATAAATTCATGTGAAGTCTTAAATGAGATTCTTAGCTCACTTTTTGTCAAGTTAGAATCATTCTGCTAACTTCCACATGCTCATAATAACAGTGCACAAGAGCAACTCACTCTAGGCAAAGGAGGTGGAAGATCAGATTTGGAGATCATTTTTTAAAATGTCACTCTTAATTTTTTTAAAAAGTGTTTTATTATGAATTATGTGATAGGTTACAATCCCCTCCATGCATCCTCAACCAACCAAAGGGTATACCCCACAAGCCTGCCCCCCAGTTGTCAGCACACAGCCCCTCTCCCTCTCTGGGTCTAGAGTCCCCAGCCACTCCATCTCAGACATCACTGTTTCTCTGGGTAGGGTCCCGCTCTCTGCTCTTCTCCCTTGATGGTCCCAGGGACCTCCGGTCAATCACTCCCCTCCTTTTGCTATAAAACGTCTATCTTTACATTCCCAACCCTCACAATCAGTCCTGATAACAATTATTCACTATTGTATCACATGAGTAAAATGTCACTCTTAATTTTTAAAAAATATTTTTTGTTGCTGTTGTAAATATAGACAGCGAGACATATACCAATCCAACAATTTCTATGTTACAATTCAGTGACACTGCCTATATTCTTCAAGATATTCAACCATTCTCACCCTTCAGCCTCCAACGACATAAACTCACTGTCCACTAGCTTCTATGTAACCTTTCAACTGTTGACAATTTGATCCCATATAGTTCTTTAAAAGAGCACAATGCTCAAGGCAGATATTCTTTACTAAGTAAGCTACACTACTGTTTTGTTTAAAAAGATTTCAAGAGGTATTTTTGGTTTAAGGTTTAAAGACTAGCTCGCTAAGAGTTTCAGGGGTCCTCCAGCCTCTATGGCTCCAGACAGCAGTCACTCCTTTTTATGTCACACTCTAGAGCTTTATTTGCACAAAATTCATGAAGTGAAGTCAAAATAGAATCTAACACCAAAAGACTCTATACTATGTAATTCCATTTATGTGAAATTCTAGCAAAAGTAAATGATAGTGACAGAAATCTGAGTGGCAGCTGCTTGGGACCAGGCCAGGGGTTGGAGACGGCAGAGAGAGATTGCAAAAGGCACCAGAGAGCTTTTGGGGGTGATGTTTACATGACTGTATACATTTGTCAAAACTCATAAAACTATACTGTTTAAATGGGTGAATTTTACTGTATATAAATTATACCTCAGCACCTTTTAAAAATGGAGTTATACCAAATCATTAGAAAGTGGAGACATTCATCTTTACCCTGTTTTTAGCATTTGTCATCTTGTCCTGCTTGGCCTGGTAAAGTATATCCTGGTAAGTGGAAGACAAGGGTTCTTCAAGATTTACAAGCATGGCATTGGGGTTCTTCAAAGCTGCAAAGGTGTCGGCTGGAATTCTATGGTCAATAGCTTCATTAATAGCAATCACAGCTGCATGTACTGGGAAAAACCAAAAAGTGAAGATTCCGTAACAGATTTACATACACAAGCCAGCAGAGCAACCTCTCTATTACAGAGAGAGGCTCTTTTCACAGACAGAGAAACAAAGATTGGGGTGAGAGGAATGGCTCCCTGGGTTCTACTGAGCCTGCTGAGTTCCACTGAGCCTTTACGCTGCACGCAAAGCCACAGTTCTACTTGTGACGTATGTTTCAGATGTGGAATTTGGAATCTCACAGAGATATATTCATAAGAGATGTTTGCAAGGAATATCCGCCATAGATTTTTTCATACTTAATTATCAATTCACATAAAAAATTCAAAGGCACTAAATAATACAGGATTCACTTTTCAAACATACTTTTTTAAATCAAAATCAATTATTTCCAAGTAACAAAAACACAGAAGGTTATAGCAATGCTTGAAACTGTATCTACTGACTTAAACTTGATAATTGTGCCGAATTATCACTATAGTATTCATTACTGGAAGTGGTAACGACAATCCCATTTGAATCTACAATGTTTCTCTTTTCTTACATGCAGCTTCGTCCACTGAAAGTTCATTAGCCAGGATGCCCCCAATCTTGCTGAAGGCAGGCATCTGGATCCCATACTTCTCCAGTTCAATCTTCATGTTGTTAATTTCTTCTTCTATAAGAAAGAATTAAGACCCAACTAGCCAAATTAATCACCTTTCTATAACTCAGAGAAAGAAACAGTTCTTCAACTATAAAATAAGATACCTTCCTCTTGGGCTGTTAAAAGTATTTAATGAGATAATATATGGAAAGCACTTAACCCATTTCCTGGTAATAAACTCTGGTGGTGTAGCGGTTATGAGCTGGGCTGCTAATCTCATGGTCAGCAGTTCAAAACTACCAGCAGTTCCACAGGAGAAAGATGACGCTTTCTGCTCCCATAAGGATTTACAGTCTTGGAAACCCTAGACAGGGTTGCTATGAGTTGGAACTGACTCCATAGCACATGAACAGCAACAACCACAAGTATTACTATTATCAAGGATACCAAATATAACTGTTAACACGAGAATGACCCCTCAGGAAATAGTGTTTCAAATTTGCTGCTTCTGGCATTACCTACAAAAAAGTTTCAAAGGGAGCAGCTTTAAAGGTGTATCATAAACTAGTCAGGAATCATGGTTTCTAAATGAAATCAAAAGCTACTATTTAAACAATTCTATTTCTATGGCAGAAAGTTAAAAGCAAGAGAAAACAAAACATAAGCTTTGGCCTTTACTGTAGGTCTGGTGAACAATTTCCCTTGAAGGAAAAATATCAAAAATAAAAGCTTTTCCCAGATGAGGTGGTGAGACAACATGGTAGAGATACGGAGAATAAAGACACAGTATGAAAAATGCAACCAATGTTATTAAATTGTACATGTAGAAACGGTGTGTCCTCGGTTGTGCATATTTTTTCATCAAAATGAAATTTTTACATCTTTTAATTACAGTTTTATTATCAAGTTTTAAAACTCCTAGACTTACAAAATAATAGCCAGCTTAAAAGATCTGAATCTATCTAACCCATGCTGCCCTAACCAGTCATGTTACTGCCCTTTGTTTCCCCAAACGCTTTAATGTTACAGGATCCAAAAAATGAAAGCATCTGATGAGATTAAATGCACACAGAAACGCCCACCCAAGTAACTAAAATTTGGCAAAACTACGAAATTGGCATCTCTGAGTCACACAGTCTTCTACTCACTTCCCTTTGCTTTCACCAAAAGAGGTGTCCATCAACTATTTGTTGGAAGAGAGAATGAAAAACTGCTTATAAAGTTTTATTATATATGAGCATTTAATGTTAGATGTTAATATCATATCCAAATTACAGATGAGAAAACTCAAGTCTGAAATTCCAGGATCAATGTTCTTTCTACCACATTAGGAGAAGCAAGTTAGTTTTCTTTCATCTCTGTTGCCAGAGCATTTTTAAAGTCCTTTAAAATTGGTACTGTTGCTTCGCCAGGCTATTCCACAGAAATCAAGCATTTCCAGCCAAGTTTTTAACAGCTTACCTGTGAAGTCAACCTTTCCGTACAGGTCTTGGATCTGAGGAGCCAGGCCTAGTTTGAACAGGTACAAACTAGAAGACACAATAAGCAAAGTAATTAGGCCTTCCAGCTGTCCCTAGCAACTGCTCTTACATTAAAAGGGGAAAGCAGTATAAAGAATAGAACAGAAACTAAGAAAGCCTCTGAGGCAAAGTATTATAATTGCAAAGGGGAACACAGAGCCTCCCAGTACCCTACAATATTCCCCTTTGGGATTACAATACTTTGCCTCAGGGGCTTTCTTGGTTTTACGTAACACTGTCCTAAAAAGTCCTATAAAGTAATAAAAACAGCACGGGACTCGGACTCAATAGACACTAACCCAAGGCCCAGTTCCCGCACCAATCCAACATGCAATTAGATTATCAATAAGAAATGTTGATATGTTTAATACAGGTGAAGACTGTTCATTTTCTGTTTACCTTCTTGTGATCATTTTAGTAAAGTCTCATGAAAATGATACAGATAGCAAACCTGCATTATTTAAACTGAATTCATATTACTGACGGAAACGTTTAATCCAGGATACGACCGTTGCTGAAAAAGACGGAGGAAGGTAATCACGGGCACCATCTTTCTTTTCTCTCTTTAACTATTACGTAGTTATTTGGGGTATATAAAAGAAATAATGGAGCTGTGTGTAAACTCATAATAGCCACTTAGATCTTCTTACCCAGAACCCTAAGTACTTGACCTCAAGCTGAATCCTATGGATAAACATCACACATCACGTTCTAATCTTTGCTCTTGCTCTCCCATGCCTATGTTTACTAATAGGTTTCTATGTGCCTATAAGGGGTCAGTCTTTAACTGAGCTCTGAATTCTTTGTATTTTCTTTCTTTCTTTTTTATTTTTATTTTTTTTTTACTATTTAAGCTGTATTTTGCAGCAATGCAAGAAAAGAAACTGTGTTCACCTACCTGGATTCCAAGAATCTTTGCTAGTTATGAGTAACATAGAGGAACTGATGGGCTAATGGTCAAAATTATTAGTGAAAACTCTTCAAAGCATGAACGGAGTATGGGACCCTAGCCAGAAAGCAGTGATACCAGAAATAGAGGCAGAGATGGCATGGAGAGATAGAGCAGCTGACGACTCTAGACTCATGGAAAGAGAAAAATTGTGTGTTGGCGGCCGGGAGGCAGGCTTGCAGAATGTGCCCTTTGGTTGTTTAAATGATTAATGATTATATATTTCTGAGTGTTTTTGTGTACATTAAAAAAAAAACAAAAAAAACCCCATAAGGAATAGAAGCAAATACTGTTAAATGATGATGCATGGAGAGGATTGTAATCATTGCAATGAAACACAATATGATAGGATGAGTGCAAAACCAATGTTCTCTCATGTAAACTATCATTCAATCCACAATAAAAGCTTTAAAAATTTAATTCAACAACAACAACAAAAATTCTTCAACACAGCAATTTATTAGGAAGCAGTATCTAGGGCAGGTCCACAGTCTCTTATTTAAAATTTTTAGGTTAGGTATACTTGAATTTTGAATTCTCAAGTATCAGAAATGTCTTACAGTAAATACAGTATTATAGACAGGAGAAAGACGAGGCTTTCTGCTCCTGCAAAGATTTAAAGCCTTGGAAACCCTATACAGAGTCTCTATGAGTTGGAACCGACTGGATGGCACTTAACAACAACAACAACAACAGTATTATAGAACATCCCCAGAAAACCTGGAGATTTCATTAGCACCATGAATCAAATACATTACTTTTCTTGAGAAATCATACTAAGTAGATAAAGATTAGGATAACCTCATTTAATTCTAATCAGATTTGCCATCAAATGAGTTGGCACCAAATTTACACTCAATTTTCAGAGCTTCTACAATTAAGTCTAAGGGATTATGGATTTGTTAACCCCAACATTTATTTCAAGAAAGATAAAACATCAGGTGAAATAGAGAGTATATAAACACATTCAAAATAATGAAACCTGATGTCTTATCTATGGAATGCAACCCACAAAAGAAATTTAGGATGATTAAAGTACAGTGACAATCTCTGGAATCATGTCAGTCAAGACTTAAAAAAGGAGGAAGGGGCAGAAAGAGAGAAACAGGGACACAATGCTTTTCAGTCACTGTTGACCCAAAAGAAAGATGGTGCCTTGTCCATCAGAGTAAAGTGACGTCCCTAACTTGAACATTGTTGTGCTTCATAGTAAAAGGGGTTCTGAGCACAGCTATAACCACTTTCTACATATAAGTATTATGAGGTGTTGCCAACCCATCCTTCAGGAAGCACACTATGTGAGAAAGAAACTGTTAAGTCACCAAACAAAACACACTGTTCTAGATAACACTTTCTAAGCATAGACTTAAGAGCTCTGGTAGTATAGTGGTTATGAATCAGGCTGCTAACCTCAAAGGTCAGCAGTTCAAAACTACCAGCCAATTCGCGGGAGAAAGATGAGGCTTTCTGCTCCCGTAAAGATTTACAGCCTCGGAAACCCTGTGCAGGGTCACTATGGGTCAGAACCGACCCCATGGTACTTAACAACAACAAGCACAAACTACACACTCAAAAGAAAGGAAAACCAGTAGCAATACCAGAGTTCCTTCCTTTCTCTTCTGACTCCATCATCACAAAAGCACAGTTCGTTCTTCATCGCTAGTTGAGAGAATTTGAAGGCCTGAGACCAAGGTTACAACTGCAGACAGTGGTATCTAAAGAACAAGCAGAGAGGAGGAATTCTGCCAGCGTAACCACTGTGCCTGCCAAGTTCAGATATTCACTGTGGATACTGCTTTCACTAGTTTATCAACATATGCAGACCTCATGTAACACTAAGCCATTCAAAACCCTCAGAATTAATCTAACTTCGGTTCAGACACATGTACTTAAAATTAATACATTCTGACTATTTCCCTAGATAGCGACCATTCCTTACACACTTAAAAAAAAAATTCTCACATTACCATTGTTTGTCCAACATTATGCTACTATGTTCCTTTTGGGGAAATAGTAATATAACACATGAACTCTGTTCCTAAAATGCTAATAATCTAATCTGAAAGATTACGTGCATAAAAGAAACTGTGGTGCACTGAATAAATTGTTTGATAAGCACTTCTAGTCTTTGTATGAGCCACAGTCTTTGTAACTGCTACCAAATGACTAGATTGTTGTTATTAAGTGCTGCGGAGTCGGTTCCGACTCATAGCAACCCTGTACAGAGTTTCCGAGGCTGTCAATCTTTACGGGAGCAGAAAGTCTCCTCTGTCTCCCGCGGAACAGCTGGTAGTTTTGGACTGCTGACCTTGCAGTTATAGGACTGTGCAAATTGGGTGTATTTCCACTTTTCCAGATGGGTCTGAGTAAGAGAAGGCTGGGGAAGATGCTGACAGGATTACATGATTCAACTGTGAGTGATTACGAACAGAGCTCACTGTGACTGTAAAAACTCAGAACTTTAACGTGGTGGTCCCACTCTGCTGGGTGGGTATAAAACAAGCCATGTTGGTAACCTGAGTCCCAGTGCACTCTTTTACTTGGCTAGCCAAGCAAGACCTTGAACTATAGATTTGGGGCTATCCAGTCTCCACTCATAGTCTCGCTATGAGTCGGTTCCGACTCGATGGCACCTGACAACAACAACAAGTCTCCACAAATCTGTGAGTTATTTTCTTAATGGTCTGTGAGATGTTACAGCAAACTGCTGAACCCTGGAATGGAAGGAAGAATACTGAAGGGAGGAATGGTGATTGCTATCAGGGATAATGGAGTTGTATAGCATTTTGGAAAAGTCGGACATTTGGGATGTCTTTAACCTCCACCTCATATGGACCAGTCTTCTGAAAAATTATTCTTACAGAAATGATAACTAAAAGATAAACTGGAGTTTAGACAAGGAAATAAGCTGGAATAATTGGAGAAAATTCCCCTAAGAAGGTGGGAAATTAAGTTAACATAAAGAATTTTCTGATAAAGAATATAACTCTACCACCCAATCCACACCTTAAAGTACAGACAAGCTATACACATAAGCTTGTGGGAAGACGGAATTTGTCACAATATATGGCTTTAACAGAAACATTTATTGATTCCCTACTATATGCAAGGAGCTCTGGTAGCGTAGTGATTACGAATCGGGCTGAATCGGGCTGTGAACCGCAAGGTCAGCAGTTCGAAACTACCAGCTGCTCCGTGGGAGAAAGATAAGGTATTCTGCTCCCATGAAGATTTACAGCCTCGGAAACCCTGTTCAGGGTCGCTATGGGTCAGAACCGACTCGACAGCACTTTACAACAACAACAACATTATATGCTAGGAGTCCCGGTGTGGCGCTGTGGGTTAATGTACTGGACTGCAAAGTCGGTTTGAATCAAAAAGTTGGCAGTTTAAGTTCACCAGCTGCTTCCTGAAAACCCTATACAGGGTCACAATGGTTCAGAACCGACTCGATGGCAATTAACAACAACAAATGATATGCTGGGTGTCTTGTATCAGATATTCAAAATACAAAGGAAATAGAATCCAGGTAAGAGATTTGTTTTGTTTTTTTTTAAAAAAAAGGTTGCTAGGGGAGCACAGAGACTGAATTCTAAATTCGGCCTGAAAGGAAATGCATGAGAGAAGACAGCAAGGAAGAGACCCAAGGAAGAGCATGGGTCAAACTAGTTTAAAAAAAAAAAAGGGCATTTCAGGCGAAGGAAGTAGCAAAACTGAAGGCCCAAGACACAGGAGTATTTGGCATGTTCAGTAACAGTCACAGAGCATAAGTACTAAGAATGGGACGCTGGAGAAGTTTAAGGAGCTGGAAGGGAGTGAACAAAATATTTTATTGAAGGTATGGGTATGGCCCTGTAGGGTAAGCACTAGACTTCAAGGTCGATTTAAACCTCAGGGTCAGCAGTTCAAACTCACCAGTCACGCCTCAGAAACCCTATACAGAGTCATTATGAGTCAGAACTGACTTGAGGGCACTGAACAACATGATATGATCAGGGTTCTTTTGTAAAGTAGCTCTGACAAAAGCGTGGCAGGAGGTTAACACAATAATCCAGACAAAAGGTCCACTAGGCCTCATTCATTTGTGTGCTTCCCACTGACTCCAGTGATGCCAAGGATCTGGCACACGTCTGATAAAAAAACTGAGACAACAGATTTCTTATTGGTTGATATCTATAGAACCATATGTTACCATATACCATTTATTAAACACACATATAGGATGTTACATAAAAAGGGCAGTCTAAGCAAATGAATCTCTTATTCATGTTCACTTTACTATTTTCTATCATTAATCATTTCTACCATCTTTCTCCTCTAGTCTTATAGCTGTCAAGTAAACCTGTACCACTCTTAAAACATTACACTACTACACAACAGACTAGAAGCACCTACTGCTATCCTCCTTTCAGATATATCACCTGTCCCTTCCAATTCAGTACCTTGCTGATTATAAGAAGCAAGGATCTCAATAGTGAGCAACTGTTATCATAACTAACTGCACTTGTCACAACTGTAAAGGTATAAGTTATATAACAAAAAGGAGGCAGTCATGCATTCCAGGAACAGAGGACCCTACGACCATCGAGAAGGAAGAACAGGAAAAGACCATGAGATCCTAGCCAGAGAAGCAGCGACACCAGAGATGGAGGCAAAGGTGATGGAATGGAGAAAGAGAGCATCAGAGGACTCTAGACTCATGGAAAGAGAAAGGTTGAAGGCTGGTGGCAAGAAGCTGACTGGCAAAATGTGCCCTTTGGTTATTTAAACAATTGTATATTTCTGCGTGTTTTTTGTGTACATCAAGTGAGAAAGGGGAGGGAATAGAGGCAAATACTGATCATTGCAATGAAGCAAAGTGTGATTGGTTTAGTGCAAAACTGACTTTCTGCAATGTAAACTATCACCTAATTCATAATAAACGCTTTTTAAAAATTTAAAAAGAGAGGCAAGGATCTGAACATGAGTCATCTTTCAAATTTACTATGAAATTATGAACTAAGTACACACTTTTTTGTTGTGCCCATTTATCATATTCATGTTGGTATATTTAACAAATGGTTTAATAACAGCAAGGATCTACACAAATAAACTATAAATCAATCTCTTGGTATTTGCTAGTATAATTTGAAGACAATGACAAAATCTGATGTGCCATTAAAGAATACCAAGACATGGTTGAAATCGATTTTATAAATCTGCTGCTTAGCTTGAAACAAAATAGTAAATGATGAAAGTTTTCAAATGGATATAGTTTTAATCATTTTTAGAGATTTTGATCATTTTTAAAGGAAGTTCTTTTTAATCACTGCCCTCACTGAAATGGATCACTTGGAGAAATACTAGATCAATGAAGATTACACTATGTTTTATAAACAAAATTACCTGCTATTGTGGGAATAAAGTCCCTTCCCCTAGTCCCTAGAAAACCAAAGGTATTTCTCACCATTTTATTAACCTACAAGTATCCTATCCTACTAAAAAAATCTTGTATTAGAAAAAATTGTTCATTCTTACACTCAACAATAAAAATTCGCACACTCAATTTATATGCTATTTCTATGCTACTTATTTTACTAAGAAAACCTGATTACCTGAGTGCATGGATACAGTAGATACATCTTGGCATGTTCTTCCGATCATAAATATCTGTAGTTTCTGGATAAAAAATCTAGAGCGAAATAAAGGCAGCAAAGAAAATTATCCACTGAAGTTCATTTGATCATTCACCGATCATCAATAAGACAAATATAGCTTTGGATAATTAGAAACATTATTGGCATATAACTCAATCTGTAAATTAGGGAAACAAGGGATACTAGTGGACTGGGAAAGTGAGACACTAAATTGTGAAGTGATGGGAAGAATTTGGGTAAGCAATAAGTTGCAGTGAGATGATGCATTTGTGACATAGTAGGACGACCAATCTTACAAAATTTAGAATATATTTTAGGAATCAAAAGACAAATGGGTAGGGTAAGTAAGGTGTTATCAGATTATGAGGCTCTTGAGAGTCAAACAAGTTTGAATTTGATATTCAGGCCATAGAGAAGTATACTTGCTTTAGAGCCAAGGATAAAAACAGGTTTAAGAAAATCTAACTGAGCCTAGACCCAGAAATTGGAACTGGGAGGTATGCTGGAAGGCTGTTTCAACAGTGGAAGAATAAAAGAGGCATTTCAAATACATGAAGAAGTCTAGGGAATGACTGGAGTTAGGGGTCTGAGGGAACTCCAAGTTTTGAGACTATGTGACTGAGGAAATGGCCACATGGTACCATTTACTATAGAAAAGGGGAAGTTAACTTGAGGGAAAAGGTGGGTATAGTTCTATATATGAAAAATTCTAGATAATAACAAACTACCCAAGAAGCAACGTCCAGCAGCCAACTGAAGATACTGCACTCATCTTACAGCAGAATGCCTTCAGAATAGCTGAAGGAGAATGGGGAATAATAAAACTAAGGACTACAGTTTAAGAAATGCCCATCACTAAGGTGTGAAAGTCCTGGTATGGCACTGTAGAAAAAGCACTGGATTGCTAACCTCAAGGTTGGTCGTTCAAACCCATCAGCTGCTCCTCAGACACCCTATACAGGGTTACTATAAGTCAGAACTGACTCAACTGCACTTAACAGCAACCAAGAGTGTGAAGGGTAGAAGGGCTGAAGAAAAACAACTAGTTAGAGAGTGAAAATCAAAAGACAAAAAAACACGTCAAGTAAAAAAAGTGGCCCAAAAGAACCAATTTTAATAAAGGGTCAAAAAAAAAAAAAGGGTCAATGTCAAAAAATATTACTGCATATAGTCTCTACAATTATCCTGTATATACCATATACAGAGAGTATGGAGACATCCCAATAAACAGTCTATGTTATTGTTGCTAAGTGTTGTCAAGTCAGCTCTGACACGTACCGACCCTGTCCGTATAGGGTTTCTGAGGCTGCCAATATTGGCGGGAGCAGAAAGTCTCATCTTTCTCTGGAAAACAGTATATGGTCCTCGCCAAGTGCCGGCATTGTTAAGTGACCCTGTACTGTCAATCATGCATCAGGTACTATATCATGGGACAACCTAATAAAGACACTGAGTGTCTTCAGACCACATAACTCAGAAGTTTTCCAGACCTAAATCATGTAGGGGGACATTTCAAAGTTGATATCCACATTGTCACTGAAAGTTCTTGGGTACATTTTATGTCTGTTGTGATTGTGATTCAAGCCAATACTGTTTACTGCTAGTAAACAAACAAACAAGGTAATAAAATTAAATAATTCTAAAAAGCACTTTGTGGTAATAACCCTATTAGCAATAGTAAATATTAGTAGAGCTCTTACAACCATTAAAAAGAGGCTAACTTATCATTGCTTGCTGGACATACTATATTGAAAACAAGTACAGGAAATTAAAGGTGCACAGAAAGAACTTGATGTATTGAATTTCCTGACATTCGTGTGGCCTGATTCTCAGTCATACCAGGGCAAAGAAGAGCACTTCAGCACTTTGCTCTGGAAAAAAAGAGAACATGAGCTAGTCTTCTGCAAAACTCGCCTCTGGACTGAAGCAACAAACAATTCAGCAGTCTGCTAAACACCAAATCAATTCATTCCCAAGTAGTTTCACCCCCTTTCTGATACTCTACACGTTCTTCTTCTTCCCTACTTCCTCTGGTTATAAAAATTTAGCATATATTCATACAGGGAAATGTAAAGAAAATAAAAGCCACCCTTTAATCCCATGATACAGAAATGAAAACTCTTGTGTCTTATAGCTTTTTCTCCAAAAACGTTATCTTTAGGGCCTCACAGCCAAATCACAAACTCTTCTAACCTTAACCTGCTTTTGTTATTTAATAGATCATAATATAAACTGTCATCATCATTGTTAATGGCCATTTAGTGTTTATAACACAATTCACACCCCTAGTGAGGGATATAGGAGTCCTGGTGTGGCTCTCAGGGTTAATGCGCTGAACTGAAAAGTTGGTTTGAATCTCAAGGTCAGCAGTTCAAGATCACCAGTCGCTCTTTAGAAATCCTATAGAGTTGCTATGGGTCGGAATTAACTTGATGTCACTTAACAACAACAAGGGATACAGAGTTGGCTATCAATTTTTCTATCAAAAATCCTTACCTAGACTAATCGCGACTGTCACAATTGTAAAGGTAGAAGTTTTGTAACAAAAAAAAGGGGAGTGGTTAATCTTACAGTCCAGAAAGAGAGGACCCTAGGACCATCAAGAAAGGAACACACAAATAGAATGCGGGACCTTATCTAGAGAAGCAGCAGTGCCAGAGATGGAAGCAGAGATGGGGACATGGAGAGGGGGCGTGGCTGAGGACTCTAGATTCATCAACTAAGAAGAGAAGGACTAAGAACTGGTGGCCAGGAGCAGACTCGCAGAATGTGCCCTTTGGAGATGTAATTTATTATATACGCCTGAGTGGGTTTTTTTTGTTTGTGAGTTTTTTAAAAAAAGCTAAAGTGGATAAAGAGAAATACTTTTAACTGATGGTATATGGAGGGGATTATAATCAATGTAATGAAACAAGTTATATGAATTGTTGAATGTGAAACTGATGATGTGCCCTGTAAACTTTCACTCAATCCACAATAAAAACCTTAAATTAAAAAAAAAAAAATCCTTACCTATATATCTTTTTTATATTTATCTGATTATTCCTTTTGCAGAAATTCCTAAAAGTATAATTCCTGGGTCAAAGGATCTCATATATTTAATTTAAAAAAAAAGATGTCCATGCCTCTAAGAGGGACAGTCTGGCATGGCCTTTATAGAGCCCAGGTGGAGACAGCGAAAGAGGGCAAATTCACATCTCAACATTAAAATGACAGCCATCACCAACGTTATAGGAAGTAAACATCATTACATGGCTATTACAATTTGAAATATAAAATGCATGATCCTTTGAATTTTCTCATACCGGTTTGATATTCTGAAGCTGGAAAATGGTATTTCTAAAATATTTCTTTATATTTTCTAGAGTCAAAGTTTAATGCAGTAACTTTGTGATTAAACGCAAATCAAATTACATATTTAGAAGAGTGAATTTTATAGCACGTGTATTGTATCTAAACAAAACAATACTTTTAATATAGTAGTGAAATTCTCTTAAGGTGGGGTGAAGTAGGGATAAGGAATATAAGAGAAAAAGAGCAAAATGATTTGTTAAATCAAGAAGAAAGAGAGCATTTAGATTTTTTTTTTTTCAAATCACCAAAGATTTCCAGTAAGAATAATTTTACAGGTAGTATGAAACTATTTTGCCAAAACATAAGAATTAAGTTAGCACAACAAATATCATATAAATTACCTTAGGCAATCCAATTTCACCCATGGCATTCAGCCACTGAATCACATTATCAGTGTGTCTAAAGTGGAGGCCAGTTGCCTAGAACAAACAAAAGGGCATTAAGCATTGTTGGCTACATTGCAGCACATATGAAATAAATACTCTTCCAGAATTGCCCTTGACCTTAGATTTAAGGTCAGTCTATAGCATTATGTTCACATTCCACACCAAGAAGTCAAACCCACATCTCAGTTCCTTAGGAACCATTTAGATAATTCGGTGTGTAAAATAATAACACTGAGAGAACTGTCTTTGGAGTTAAACCGACTTAGACTCAATTCCTGGCTCACTTATCTGCTGGTGACACCAAAAAAGTCACTTCACTCTTCTGAGTTTCCTCATCTAAACAGGTTGGGTTGCTGTTGCTGCTGTTAGGTGCCCCTGAGTCAGGTCCAACTCCTAGCAACCCCACGTAAAACAAAGCAAAGGTCTGCCCAGGCGTGTACCAGCCTCACAACTGTTGCGGCCAATGTGTCAAATCCATCTCCTTGAGGGTTTTCGTCTTTTTCTCTGATCCTCTACTTTACCAAGCACCATGTCCTTACCCAGGGACAGGTTCCTCTTGATATGGCCGCAGTACATGAAACCAAGTCTCTCCATCCTGGCTTCCATGGAAAATTCTGGCTGTACTTCCAACACGGATGTGTTTGTCCTTCCATTATTCCAGTATTCTTCACCAACACTACAATTCAAATGGACCAATTCCTCTCCAGTCTTCCTTATTCACTGCCATCTTTCACATGCATAGGAGGCAATTAAGAATGCCATGGCTAGGGTCAGGTGCACCTTAATCCTCAAGGTGACATCTCTGCTCTTGAACATCTTAAAGAGGTCTTTGCAGCAGATGTACCCAATGTAATACACTGTTTGGTTTCTTGATTACTGCTTCCATGAGCACTGACTGTGGATCCA